TTTCACCACTTTACTAAGCAATCAGTCACAAAAGAGCAAAAGTACACCCTTATATATATGTGTATATAAATATACCCTCTCTTCAAGACTAAAGTAACAAGCTCAAAGTTTTCAAAATAAAAGTAAATAAAAAAAAAAAGAAAAACTATTACATGATCTATCGGACGAGGCGAGAGCTTAAGAGATTAACGGAGACGGGGATGGGGAAAATCACCGGTGTTACAATCCTCCCCACCTTAGGTTTAATTTTGTCCTCGAAATTCACAATTCACGCGAATAGGCGAGGGTAATGCCTCTTTAAATCCTCTTCCGCTTCCCAAGTCACGTTTGACCCGCGATGATGTTTCCATTGTACCTTGACCATGACAACCTCCCTGTTCCTCAACACTTTGGTCTTTCTTTCCAAAATGGCCTCCGGTTCTTCCACGCATTGGTTGCTCTCGTCAACCCGAATTTTCGATAATGGTATCACACTTTCCTCGTTCGCCAAACACCTACGAAGGCAACACACGTGAAATGTGTTGTGGATTCCGGCCATCTCAGGTGGTAGTTCCAATTTGTAAGCTTGAAGCCCCACTCGAGCCAAAACTTTAAATGGTCCGAGAAAACGGGGGCTGAGCTTCCCACGCTTTCCAAAATGGATAGTGCCTTTCCAAGGGGATACCTTAAGCATAACAAGATCGCCCACCTGAAATTCTATGGGTCGGCTCCTCTTATCTGCGTAGCTCTTTTGCCGATCTTGAGCCGCCTTTAGGTGTTCTCGAATACCCTTCACTTTGTCGGCTGTTTCTTGCACGATTTCAGGGCCGGCGAACTGCTTCTCACCCGCCTCGAGCCAACACACGGGGGTCCTACATTTTCGGCCATACAATGCTTCGAAAGGTGCCATGCCGATACTAGAGTGATAACTATTGTTGTAGGCGAACTCCACTAGGGGTAAGTGAGAGTCCCAATTACCACCAAAGTCAATAACACACGATCTGAGCATGTCTTCGAGGGTTTGAATGGTCCGTTTGCTCTGACCATCAGTTTGAGGATGGTAAGTTGTACTCAATTTCACCCTTGTGCCCAATTCTTTCTGTAGGCCGTTCCAGAAATGGGAAGTGAATCGACTATCCCGGTCTGACACTATGGACAACGGTATACCGTGTCGCGAGACTACTTCATCGATGTATAACTTGGCAAGCTTGTCCAATGGCAAGGTTTCACGCATAGCCAAGAAGTGAGCGGTCTTTGTTAGTCGATCAACCACTACCCAAATCGTATCGTGACCCCTTAAAGTCTTCGGCAGTTTGGTCACGAAATCCATAGTAATGTGCTCCCACTTCCACTCGGGGATTTGTAAGGATTGGAGGCTACCATAAGGTCATTGGTGTTCCGCTTTCACTTGCAAACAAGTCACACACCTCTCTACATAACGAGCCACATCTAGCTTCATGACAGGCCACCAATATGTCAATTTCAAATCCTGATACATCTTGGTGCTACCCGGATGAATTGAGTATTTAGACTTGTGTGCGTCCTCTAGCAGCAGTTCACGATTGCCTCCAACTTCAGGTACCCATATACGCCCTTGAAATAACTTCAAGCCACGTCCATCCTCTGTCAACAACAAGCGTTGTTTTACCATAACCTCGCTCTTGAGGTTCTCTTCTAGGAGTGCCTCGGATTGCGCCACTTTGATTTGATCAATTAGACTGCATACTAAATCGATCCTGGTAAGTACAGCGCTCATCCCTCTGCCGTTCTCCTTTTGACTCAGCGCATCCGCCACTACATTTGCCTTTCCAGGATGGTAACGTAATTCACAGTCGTAGTCTTTGAGCAGTTCAAGCCAACGCCGTTGTCTCATATTCAAATCCTTCTGGTCGAAAATGTACTTCAAGCTCTTGTGATCAGTGAAGAGTGTGCACTTGGTACCATAAAGGTAATGTCGCCAAAGTTTTAAGGCGAACACCACCGCCGCTAACTCCAAATCGTGGGTGGGGTAGTTTTTCTCATGAACTTTGAGTTGTCTTGATGCATAGGCAATCACCCTCCCCCTTTGCATCAAGACACAACCCAACCCCAGTTTTGAAGCGTCACTAAAGACTACGAAGTCTTCGGATCCTTCCGGCAAGGAGAGAACCGGGGCTTCACATAACTTCCTTTGGAGGGTTCTGAAGGCTTGCTCTTGTCTCTCTGACCAGATAAATTTCACATTCTTCTTAGTCAGCGCCGTTAAGGCGGAGGCAACTTTGGAAAAATCTTGAATAAATCTCCTGTAGTAACCCGCTAGACCCAAGAAACTACGGATTTCGGAAGGGCTCTTTGGCGGCTCCCAATTCATCATTGCCTCGATCTTGGACGGGTCCACTTTCACCCCGTCGCGAGTGACTATTTAACCCAAGAATTGAACCTCCTTTAGCCAAAAATCACACTTGGAGAATTTTGCATACAACTTCTCCCTTCTCAACATTTTGAGAACTGCCCGAAGGTGTTGTTCATGATCTGATTCATTCTTGGAATAAATGAGAATGTCATCGATGAACACTATTACCGTCTTGTCAAGGAATGGTCGGCACACTCGGTTCATCAAGTCCATGAATACCGCCGGCGCATTCGTCAGGCCGAAAGGCATGACTAAAAATTCGTAGTGTCCATAACGTGTTCTAAAAACTGTCTTTGCCACATCATCTTCTTTCACTCGCACCTGGTGATAACCTGAACGAAGATCGATTTTTGAGAAACAACTGGCCCCCTGGATTTGGTCGAAGAGGTCGTCAATCCTAGGGAGGGGATATTTGTTCTTCACGGTTGCCTTATTGAGTTCTCGGTAGTCAATACACATCCTCATGGTGCCGTCCTTCTTTTTCACAAATAAGACCGGAGCTCCCCAAGGTGACGAACTTGGTCTGACAAATCCTTTCTCAAGAAGGTCCTTCAGTTGGGACATCAGTTCTTGCATTTCCGAAGGAGCCAATCGGTAAAGGGCTCTTGCAAGCGGGACGGTTCCTGGGATAAGATCGATTCAAAACTCCACCTATCTAACTGGTGGTAACCCGGGTAAATCTTCTGGGAAGACATCAAGAAACTCGTTGACCACGTTCACCTCCTCAATCCTTTTTTTCTTTAGCTTGGCATCCATTACGTATGCTATGAATGAGGGATACCCCTTAGCTAAGCATTTGCGCGCCTTTGCCACCGATAGGAGTACTACGTCCCCCTTCTTCCTTTCTCCATAAACTAGCACCACGCCCCCGCTCGACAAAGGAATTCGAATTAATTTCTTAAAACATAAGATCTCTGCTTGATTCTTTGCTAGCCAGTCCATTCCAATGATGATGTCGAACCTGCCGATTGTCATGGGTATAAGGTCCACCCGAAATTCTTCTCCCTCGATTCCCAACACGCAATCCCTAACAACCTCGTGTACCAGAACCCTACTACCATTTGCTAGTTCGATAGTCAAGTCATCTTCTAGAGTACTAGGAGGCGTATGCAAGAGTTGGTAGAATGTTCTAGACACAAAAGAACATGAAGCACCGGAATCAAAAAGTACGTGAGCAGGTACAGAGTTAACAAGGAACGTACCCGACACTACATCCGTCGACGCTTTAGCTTCTTCTCTCGTCATCTGGAAGGCTCGACCGGTTGCTTTTGGGGCGCCCTCTCTTCTTCCTTGACTTCCCCCAGTTTTCAACTTTTGGCAATCACTCTTGAAATGGCCCGGTTCCCCGCAACCAAAACATATGGGTCCCTTAAGTGGACACTCGTTTCGTGTGTGGCCTGACTTCCCACACTTAAAGCATTTGGTGGGGGTAGGATTGGTACTACACGGGCCGTGATGTCTGCTGCAACACTTGGGACACCATTTTGCCTCATGTCTCGGGTAGGCCCCGCGATTGTTACTGTTGGAGTGGTTTGACCTTTTGGAGGGTGCAAGATGCCCTTCCCATCTCCTCTTCTCACCACCCGACGTTCTCTCTTCTCTTCCTTTAGCAAAGACAGACTCCATGACTTTTGCCTCTTCGATTGCTTCCCTAAGGGTGGAGGCTCTGGAGTTCCTGACCATTACCATCATGTCCGCAGGCAATCCCTTGAGGTAGGCTTTCATCCTTTCTTTCTCCATTGGGGCCACATGCCCTACCAAGTTCAACTTCTCCATAAAAAGTCGCGTGTAGTCCCCCACCGACAAATTCCCTTTCTTGAGGGTTCGGAATTCTTCTTCAATGCGGTCCATCTCTTGTTCATTGCAAAATTCTTCCAATACCTTTTTTTTTAAAGTAACCCAACTCATCTTGGCCAACTCCGTAGTCTCTAAAGTTGATATTACAATGTTCCACCAGGTAAGGGCTGCACCCCTTAGCATTTGAGAGCCAAATCTTGTCTTTTCTCCTTCATCACAGTCACAACCCCTGAAGGCCTGTTCGATCTCTCGAAGCCAGTTCATACATGCTACGGGATCATCTGACCCATCGAATTCCGACGGTTTGCAACTCAAAAATGTCTTGTAAGAACAAATTCTTCCCACCTGTCTTGCATCAATTGTCGCTAATTCTTGAGTTGGAATTCCATTTCCGGTACCTTCGGATCCCACAATGGTTACGTTCTCGGCGACTGCTTCATGCTTACGATTGTTGGCATCTCTATCCTCTAGCAGCTTCATAAAGAACTCTTGTTGTTGTGCCATAGCTCGGTTCATGGCGTTCATCATAGTGCCCATCATTCTTGATTCTGGGGTTTCTTCTTCCATAATGGGGTTAGTGGTGGCAAGGTCGACTTGAGGAACCTGCTCCACTCCACCGCCCCAAGTATCTTGCCTAGGATGAACCCTTGAAATAGTGATTCGTGGCGGTTGATCCGCAGTAGACTCGGTTACCGCATGACCTTCCGGAGAGGTATCCCGTCTACTCCGAGTATTCACCATTAAAGACTGTCAAGAAGAGGGTGAAAGATAGTTATGATAGGACGAACACGGAATCAACATAATACGTACCGATACGTTCATATATTCTTGTAACAACAGTAAGTTCAAGCACGCTTGTGTATTAACTTGCTGAAAATAGCATTAGCTAAGTGAAATTTTGAATAGGTTACACATAAGAATTCTTAACACCATCGTCACAATTTTATGAACGGGAAACTCCGATATCCCTAGCACCTTCCTATCCTCAAAACGATCTATCCATAACGCACAAAATTAACAACTACAATTTCAGTTTAAGTCTAGGCATCTTAATCCTATACCTAGTTCGCTTAAACTAGGGCTCTGATACCAACTTGTAACACCCTGAAATTCTAATTAACAAACCCGGCTAGGGAAGTCTGAATAGAATAACAAAAATTAAACAACCGAGATTTTCCATCAGATTAAATGATAAAGGAAAATAAAACAAACATCAAGGTGAGAGTTAAGCGTTTATACAAAAAGAGACGATGGCTAACAACCTACTAATCTAGAGATCCCTAGATTATGGACGGGTGTTCCCATCAACTCCAACAACGCAATATTTGATTTAAAATAACGCCCAAAGTCTCCAAGTACATTGTCTACAAAAAGG